AGTGCAAATGTTTTACTATTCTATTATTAGTGAATTTTAAATTTAGAAAATCAAACATTACTTATTTGAGAAACAAGCATTAAGGCTTCATTTGGGARTGCTTCATGGGTTTTCTATGCTTAATGCTTTTCCTGTTGGAGAAGCCAGAAACTACTCAATAAAATAATTTGGCAAAATGATTTTTGGCATAAAAATCCGGTTTAAAAAGAAAAAACCTCCTTTTTTTGCATAATAGGATAAATCGGATCGGATTTGGATCCCCCTATCCGGTGATCCTGTATATGCTATTTAATTATTTATAAATATAGTATTTATATTGCATTTTTGTAAATTTATTATATTATTTATTTTTATAAAAAACATGTATATATGTTATCAAAATAGTTCAAAAGATACTTGTATTTTCTGCTTTTCTTTATTTAAATTGTTATGTTTTATTTTTTATTTAACAATTTATTAATTAAAAAAAATGAATTGGATCAGATCCAAAAAATCCAATTTCCTCATCGGATTCAAATTCAAATCCATGTTTATCAGATCCAGATTTGATTGGATCTATAATTAATAGTGTCATACTGGATTTAGATATAACCTGATTTGAATCTGATCCATTTGCATCCATACCTAAATATGTTCTTAAAATATTAAGTGATAGACCATAGCCCCAAAATGTCAAAAGACCTTCCACGAATCTCATTTTGTGTAAAGTTTGTCAATGCTCGGTTTGGCCGAGACAACACTGTCAATTCGCTCCTAAGCCTGAGTAGGATCGAGGTACCCAAGGTCAGAAGCCTATGATGGACAAGGACTAAGGACCGAGGTGGTGCAGATCCGAGGTCCAAGGTACACGATGTCTTGCGTCCAAGGGGTCGATTCTACAAGAAGAAAGGTGTCAAAGGCCTCGGGTGAATACCCGAGGTGAGGACTCCAACGGTCAAGTTAGTACCGAGTATGGAGTGGATGAGGTCTGCGAGCACCCAAACGACATCACTAGAGAGTAATAGATCTCAAAGGCTAGTGGGGGAGCTCAAGTATTCAATCCCTTACCTAGAGGGGGGTCACCTCATAGTTATACTTGAAACTGCCTGGAGGTAGGTGAGCTCGGACGGCAAGGATTGAGTCCGTATGCGGGGAGCATGGCCGTCCTAGGCCGCCAAGTGACACCGCGCCATTGGTTCCTAGGTTTCCGTCGAGCTGGGCAGCGCGCGTTCACTGATTGACTCCGCTCTGACGTGCGCTACCCGACACATGTAGGCCACTGAAAGGTCAGTGCCATCTGCGCCTACATCAAGGTTCAAGCTACCAAGCTTGGGAATGCTGGTGCCAAAACCACGGTTTTGAAAACCAAACTGAACCATATTCTTGAACTTGTTGACTCGAGAACCAGTCATGATTTCGGGTCTAGTTTTAAACCTTAAAACCATCCAACCAAGGTTCAAACCAGATTGTCAGACCGTTTGACCCAAAACCGGTGACCAAAGCAGTTATGGTTTTGGGTTGGGTTTTAAAACCATGAGCAAAACCATTCGTAATAGTCCCAATGAGTTAATTGCATGAGAGGTTGATGGAGACAAGAGACTTGTGAATTCTTGAAGGAATAATGCTAAGGGACGCTAATGGCAAGGGAGGATTCAATCATATATCAAAAAAATTGGAGGTACTTTAAAGCAATTTCTAAATGGTAGGGGAAGATAATCAATTATCTAAAACTTAGGGATACTTTAAGAGATTTGCTCTTTGCAAAATAGTATTTATGCGATCAACAATATCACAATTGAACATTTGAGCCAATGTTTAAAAAACTGACTTGAAATAGGAACTGCTTTAGCCACCGGTTTCTAGGTGAGTGGTTCGATCATCTGGTTTGAACAGATGACCCATTCTGATTAAAAAAATAAAAAATAACTAAAACAATTAAAATAAAAAACAGTCAAGACCGTTGTACAGGCAACGGGTTGCTAACCAAGTAGGTGTTTGGTATCGTGGTCTAACCACAATATATTGAGTTTTAAAATGCATCACGTTGTTTTGAAGAGTTCAGTTGGCCTCTAGTGTGGATCAATGTACCCTATCTCATTGAAGGTAGGGTTGTAATTAGGCTCATCAATGATACTCGAAAACCCAAGGCCCAATCCAACATCCAATTCGAATATCTCAGATTCGGAAGATGTATTTATGTAATCAAATCAGAATCGGATTCGACCCCATCAGTCTAATTAAAATCCAAATACAATTATATTTATTAATTTTAAGATATAAAGTTTATATAATTATATTTAAAATTCTAAAAATATATTCTATATATTATATTATATATGAGTTTATATATAAAATAGGTTTAGTTTGTTATATCTATATTAATTTATTATATATAAAAGTTAGAAAAATAAATAAATTTTTAATTCTTTTATATTTTAGAAAATTTATAGCGAAGTCGGATTAAATCTGAATATGATCCAAGTCTATTAGGATTCAAATTTGAATACGAGTCTTTAAATCTGGTCAGAATTTTGATTAGATTCAGATGTATGTTCTCATCAATCAGATATGATGTGGATTTTGTTAAATCAGATCCAAGTCAGACCCGATTACAACCCTAGCTGTAATCGGATCAGACTATTGAAAACTTGCATTCGAATCCGGTTCAAGATCCAATCGGATAGGAAGACCTCAGATTTGAATTCAAATCCTAACAAATTCTGATCGGATTTGGATTTAATTCAACTTTGATTTAATTTGTTACAATACCAAAACAATTAAAATTTTGATTAGTTTTTAACTTTTATATATAATATAATAAAGTAATGTAAATATAACATACTAAATTCATTATATATAAATTCATATATAATATAATATGCAGAATATATTTGGGTGGGGCCAAATCCGAATCTAATCTGATTATTTAATCGATGTAGATTGTAACATCAAAATCCATTCTAATTGGATAAATACATCATCCCAATTCAAGTTAATCAGATTGGATGTCAAATCAAGCATCAGATTTTTGAGCATCATTGATAGGCCTAGTTGTAGGTGAAATGCATGGAATCAAACACACAAGTTGTGGACTAAAATGCACCACACCTTGCAAAATGCTTATGCAGGCGTGTAGTGGTTCAATCCATACTTCTTTGTTCACAGTTCAAAACAACTACTATATTGGAGTTTGTGGCAAGGTTCAAAAAATCGTTACGAATTGGCCCGTACCGGCCGATACGTATCGTATTGGGAGCACCCAAATATGCCCTATAGAGGGTGTATCGGGGTTTTGACTGGTTCAGGGGGAGGAACCTTAAACCGGCCCCCCTGAACCGGATTTGAAAAAAGATGAAAAAAGAAAAAAGAAAACAATATCGATACTGCCAGACACACCCCTACCGGCTTATCAGGCGTATCGATATTTAGAACCTCGGTGTGGTGTGCTCTCATCCACACTATAGGTGTGGTGTGAATGAGAACACACCACCCAATTTCTCATAAATGTTATAGAACACCCCCAAGTCAACGATTTTTGGCCTAAAAATGGTTTTAGGGTGAAATAGAACCGGTGCTTAGACGGTCTCAGTATCTACCAGTCTGGTCCGGTTTTCAAAACCTTGCTTTGAGCCATGAATCTCTCCCTTTTCTGGTTCTATGCTTGATTTGGTTCTCTGAACATTGCTAAATACTAAAAAAAAATGCCTTTATAAAATGCCTATTTCAAAATGGACTTCTTAAGACCCGAAAAGGCCAAAACACAACCTTTAAATGCTAGTCACAAGGAAAACATCTTCTTCCTCTTCATTGGAGATCTACCTCCTAGCAAAAAAAAACTAAATTGGAGAGTGATTTGGAGCTGGGATCTTCTCCCAAACAAAACTGTTCCAACATAATCTATATCAGCACATTTCACCATAAGACTGGAGCCCACCATGTATGAGATGCGCTAGTGCAGACACAGATCATGAGATCCAGACTATGTGATGAATTGGGATTAACAGTAAACAACAAGCTTACAATCTATGAAAAGTTCATTTTCATGAAAGCGGTAAGATCTAGATCAGTTCTAGTATGGATTGCAGTATGGAATCTGAAAAGGAAAATGCATAATATAGCATCATTGACCAGCCAGTATGATGCGGAAAAGATATGATATGAAAAGAGTTTTGACCGATCAAAACCCAACCATTAATTTTGATAAATAACACTTTATT